TTCCATCTGAAATGACATAGGAAGGGAATATACTCTGCAAGAAAAAAAAGAAAACGGACTGTATTTCATGTGGTGTATTCATCGTTAAATATTATGCTGCTTTCAGGCATTGGGCTCTGGACAAATAAAGCAATAAATCTCTATTGGGCACAGGCTATTCTACTTAGTTCAGGTGATTGTGGGCAATGAATTTCTTGTCTGTTCAGCACTGGGTGTGTCCTGATTTCCTTGCATGTTAAGCTGCATTTCATTATTCACTCTGCCAATACATTTCATAGATGTAAAAATGTTTGTCTCTTGATGTTGGTTAAAGAATCAAATAAAATATGTATCCCCTCAGCTCTTTCATCGGTTTCATATCCTGTAACAATCAAATGGCTCTAAATCCTGGCTTATTAATAATAGGCAACACAAAGCTATTGCTTAATTCCTTTATGCTTGCCTTATGTCAGGAAAGCCTGAGCAAAACAAGAAACTTGCAGCACTGGTTTGTTTAGTGTATGCCCATATCTGAATTCCTGGTTCACTGGTTTCCTAATAAACCAGAATTTGATGACATTATTTGTTCTTTGCTTTTAGTTCCTGGTTTGTTGGATAATAGCATATTGGAAACGCCAGATTGGATAAAGTAGTAAGCCAACTAGCCATGGAGTTTTGCACTGGTAGAAAAGCCAGCTTAGCAGGAAACAAGCAAGAACAATTAGATTCTGTTCATTCAAATTCTTGTTAAATCTTAAGCCAGAATTCTATCTTTCTTCTCAGTGTTATATGCAAGAATCTGAATATTTATTTTTGTAAAAAAAAAACTTCCTTAGACATTTTAATATGTCACTTCTTAAAACACTGATAAATGTTATTTGCCAAGTTGAAAGAACAACATGTCATCGTTCCTGTCATTTTGGTAGAACACAGTGGCTTGTTTTTGTGGCCTAGCTGAAGTAATTGTATATAGTGCAGGAGAAATCACTCAGTTCAGAATATCCATCTGAGTCACTAAACCCTAATGTCACTTAATTAAGTACAGATAGTCCTCGACTTATAACCACAATTGAGCCCCAAATTTTTGTTGCTAAGCGAGACAAATGAATTTTGCCCCATTTTACGACCTTTCTTGCCACAGTTGTTAAGTGAATCTCTGCAGTTGTTAAGTTAATAATACTGTTGTTAAGTGAATCTGGCTTCCCCGTTGCTTCTCAGAAGGTCGCAAAAGGTGATCACATGACTCCAGGACACTGCAATGGTCAAAAATATGAATCAGTTACCAAGCACCTGAATTTTGATCACATGACCAAGGGGATGCTACAATGGTCGCAAAGTGTGAAAAACAGACATAAGCCACTTTTTTTTACTGCCATTGTAACTTCAAATGGTCACTAAATGAACCATTGTAAGTCGAGGACTATCTGTTCTATAGGATTTTCAATGTTGGGACATGTACACAACAAAACAATATTTCTCTTTAATATCATATTAGATGATAGCTATCATTACATTATGTGGGCTGTGACTTACATATAAATTGTATGAAAAAGGATTTAATTTTCTCTGTTTGGAATTTTTCTATATTCAGATTCTGATATTGTAACATGTGTAATTATAAGCACCTTTGTGCAGTATGCCTTCCTATATGTATCTTTTCCCCAGCTTAAAAGAGCAATATTTCTTTATCCTGTGATTATTTTGATTGCTCTTTATAGACTTTTTTCATTTCTTGAGTTATGGAGATGCTGCTTCTATATTATTTCTATGTGCATCCTTTTGCACAATGTGCCTTATGGATTTATCCTAAGCATCTTCTTCTTTTTTAGGAATAGAATGAGAGCATGCTAGGTAGGCATATCCAGCATGGATAGTTTTGTATCCTTTTTTTTCTTTCTAAAATGGATTATCTGTGTACCGTGTGGTATTCTTGGTAGTTGCCCAAGAAATTGAATACATGAGGATTCTGGCATTATTCTCAATTTCTTCTTCAGTTCATCTTTAGAAAAAAAAACTATGCTTTATATAGCAGCTGTAGGCCGATGGATATTTTTGTTAAAGTGTCCACCATAATCCCAATAGCCTTGTCCTGCTAAATCAACTTCCAATTAGAACAGGGGTGTCAAACTGGTGGCCCATAGGCCAGATGTGTCACATGCAGGCCATGCTCACCCCAGCTCCACAAAGGCAAAAAACGTCACGATATGTCACAATATGTCACGTGACACGATTGAGTTTGACACCTGTGAATTAGAACATTTAAAAAGTTGGGACTTTTTTTCAGCATCTTTTCCTTAAAAAGCAAACAGTCCCCCATAAAAACTTTAAACTTGCCTTCAAATTTATAGTATTCAAAATTGTCATTTTCTGATGATGGCCTTTACCTTGAAGTGAAAGAATTACAAGGGTGTCATCTTCACGTTATGGATTGAACATTACTTCTTCATTGAATACATGTACTGTATTCATCCAAATGGTGTAAACTTGGGTTTTGCTGCTTTAATTTTATTTATTTTTGTATCCAAATTACAAGGAACTGTACATTTGCAGCAATGATATTAAGGAATATTGATATAGAAAATAATCATCTATAATGTTACATTGTATCTTTTAATGTGCTACCATTAGAATTTATTATTGGCTTGATGTTGGTTGGTGTTGTTTGATTAATTTATATACCTCGTATGGTTGGTGTTGTTTGATTAATTTATATACCTCGTATGTATATCATTGAACAAATGGAAGCTATTTTGAAATTAAGCATTCCTTTAAAATTGTTGGCTCTCAATGTTTCCTTGTTAAATTCCTTTATTAAAACATGGTTGGATATACATGCATTTCTTAATTTGGAAATAAAACTATTTTCACTACCTAAGTAGCATAGAGTATAAGAACATTGTAGCGGATGGTTGAAAATAATCTGAGATAATTTAAAGAAAAGAGCACACGTGTCAAGGACTCACATCTTCTGTCTTCTATATAAATAAAAATGTAAATGTTCGTTTGTTCAAAATCTTAAATCTCCAAAAGTTCTTCACTGATTGCTTTGAAATTTTGACACAACGTTGCATTCGAATATGCGCGTGTTTTTATATACCTACTATTATATAGATGTCACAACTGTGACAGGTAAAAACATGCTTTTTTTTTGAAATCACCATCAACAAAGCTCAGGGCCAATCTTTAGAATTGTGCGGTTTAGATCTAGACACGGATTGCTTATCACATGGACAATTATATGTTGCGTGTTCTAGAGTCAGCAAACCAGACAATCTCTATATCTGCACAGACAATGGAACAACAAAAAATATTGTATACCCACAAGCATTGTGAAATTAAACATATTACAAACGTGCGCTTTCTCTTTTCTTTCTTTTCCATTTAACCAGACTGAGCCACAGCAACGCGTGGCCGGGTACAGCTATAATGAATAGAACTAGAGTAGGATCTGGACAGAAACAGCAATATTATGGGTATTTTAAACATAATATATATTTGACATAATACTACATTTTCTTAGAAACAGCATGAGAGAGTGACACCTACTGACTAGCAAATATGAATAAAAATACTGAGCTAAATGAACTTTTTCTGCTGATCTCCTGAATTGTGGCATATGGAACAAGTGCATCATTTAACAAGAAAACTTGTGAATGAATGTATTATATGTTAACAGAAGGAGTAGAAGAATCATGGAACAATGTTAGTGGAATAGGAATTATAGTTCTTAATTCATATTTTAATTTAACTGATGAAACTATGTATGTGTCCATGTGCTCCATAATTCTAAACCAGCAGAGATCCTAGCTCTGATCCTCATAATTTCAGTCTACATTTTATTTAACACAGATGCATATCGCTGAGAGAGCAAGGGAAGGAATAAATGCAAGCAAATGAAGCTACTGTATATGCTGCACAGGAAAGAGAAGGGCTTAGTACTCTGTTTTTTAAAAAAGACATGGAGTGAAATTGCTTGGAAAAAGGAACAAACTAAATTCAGATTATTATTATTATTATTATTTACACAATTTATATGCCGCCCTTCTCCCCATGGGACTCAGGGCGGCTCACAGCATATTAAAACATCGTACAAAAAAAATTTTCCCCTGCTAAAAACCAATTAAAACCCAAATATTGGTAGCTGTGGCTCTTTAAAATCGTTTAAAAATTGTCCCTATTTAAAACTCACCCTAGGTCAGGCCCGCTTGTTGAAAAAGCCATGCCTCCTTGCTATTTGTTATATGTATCAAATGAAATATTTGACTTGCTAGTATACATGTCCTACAAGTATTTCTGCAATTCCATGCACAGGACCATTTCAGGAGATGTCAAGATAGTGGGTGTGATCATGCAATCAAAATTTCTAGGCAAGGCTTTGATGTGTGCCAATTTGATTCTTTTTATACACCCGTTTGTTTATTTATTGGATTTCAAAGCTACCTGACTTAAAAAATAAAAAAAAAGAAAGTGTTGGATTGGCTCATTTCTTATTTGTTTTACACAAGAGGGATGAGGAAAACTGCAGAGTATCAGTGATGTACCTAACTTAAAGAATTATAGTTAAGTGGGTCACTAATAATAAACATCCAAATTATTTCTTTTTTAATAAGTCAAGGATCAAAATTATACTACATATACTATTTTTAGGAACTCTTATTTGTTCTGACGTACAATATACAATTTCAGAATTTAGAAATCTTCCTTCACTAAAAGTCAGGTGAATCTGATAGTATTTATATTTCCAAAATCTGTAGTAATTGGTTTAAATAAGTCTAAAAGGTGAGTCACAAATCTTTCCGTAAAAAAAGACATCAAAACACAACATTTTACCTAACGAAGAACACGGGATAACATAGAGTAAGTTTACACCAAACCCGTGTAAATACCCTCTTTTTCTATCTAGGTTATTATTTTCACCTTTTAAAATAATAACTTTGTCTTAAATAAACACGAAAGAATATTTTTATTTTTACTCAGTATACTTTTTGACTTAACATCATTGTCTGCTCTTTATTCTATAGGTGACTGCTGAGCTGTGAATTATGGCTCCCTTTTTACGAATATCATTCAACTCTTTTGAGCTAGGACCAATCCAGAATCAGGGAGACCAACTACAGCCTTTCTGTGCAATAAAAATGAAAGAGGCTTTGACTACAGGTAAAATAAAATGATTTTGACTGTTTTTAAGTGGATCTCTTCTGAAATAGTCTGAGAAAACTATAGTTCAATCCTGTGCATAATTACTTAAAAGTAACTGTCTCTGAGTTATTAGGAAGATATTATTTAAATTTCAAATACAGCTGGTGGGTCAAAACTAATAAGACACTTCTAATATAAGAGCTGGATTTCTTTTAGCAGTATTCAGGTTAGAGGCATGGGTTGGAACTTGTTCTGTTATTTTAAATCAGAAGCTGGTTTGTTTATTTGTTTATATTTAAGCCGTTTTATTTATTTATTTGTCAAATTTAGAAACTGCCCATGTCCCTCAGAGTAAAAATGCCATTTTCGCTATTATTTGGAACAACAATAATAATTTTGTATTATCTGAATTAATAAACTTCATTTACCTTTCATCAAAAAAATCATACCTTATCTTAAGTGTTATCCAGCAAGTAAAACAAGTTGGCATTTTATTCTTTATGGAAAAGAGACAATTATGTGCGGAGGAATGTAGCACCCACCCACCTACCCGCAAAAATTAATTGGTTTCTTTGTTTATTTGTATATGTTGCCCATTTGCCAAGTGACTCTGGGCAGCCAACAAGGGCTAACTCATAACTTAGCCCAGCTGTGTATTGTTACCAAAGGTAATCTAATTTCTTTTTACCCCTATGTTTTATGCATCAACCTTCCTCTTAAAAGCCCAGAGCATTAGAAAAAACAAATCCAGTTTATGATTGCCATTTATTTTCATTACTCATTAAATTGAAAGGGAAACCAAACTGCTATTAAGCTGCTTTATGACTTATCTAATTTCCCATGCAGGTGAGAAAAGAAAGTTGCTATTTGCAATGACTTGCTGAGACATCTTGAAAAAAATCTTTTTGATGTCTCCCATCAAAATTCTCCCTACCAGCCAAAGAAGTCAGGGAAGCAAAGAGTAGGATCACACACTGTATGAAGGCATAATTTGGCTTGTTTGATTTTGATTTAGGATGAACCCGCCTCAATCTTTAACCATTTTAGGATTTTTAACATTCAGGATTATTAATGTATAGCATGTACTCCAACAAAATGGCCACCATGGTCAACTAGCCCAAATATAAAATGGCCATTTAACAGAAGGTATCATGATGTTTCTCTAGCCATCCAGGATGTTCTTTACCATTTCACTGTTGTTGTCTTATTTTCTGGCCAAGATTCCAAACAAAGTGGAATCTTTTTTTAAAATGAGCTTTTTTTTTAATTTTTGAAGCATGCCTTTCAGACTTACGAAGAATTTCAAGTCATGGCCAGAAATGCATATTATGCTAGAGGGTGGTTTCTTCTCATCTTTTCTTGAGGTTCTCAGGTGGCTTCTCACTCTTATTTTAAAATTAATGTTAATTATTTTTTTAAAACAAAAAATTAAAGGCTGGTTTTTAGGGCCAGTGTTTGGTAGACAACTGAGGTGCTGTCTGTAGGTATACTGGCAACCCTACCAACTATATTGATTATGTAAGGTTTATTTATTTATTCTGTGTATAACTCCAAGAAGATCTGAAGTATCTGCAGAGAGTAAGGAAGATGAGCTTGATAGAAATACACAGGAGCAGGGATGACAATCAGCAACCCAGGATCCCATTGCTGAAGTTCATTTTTCTTCCCATGATTTTCTTGTCAAATCAGCCTGAATATTGTCAGTTTGGAA